CGCCTGGTTTCCTGTGCTGATTCCACGGTGTGCTGTCTCTGGCTGGTTCCGTGGCTTTGTTCTTTGGCTGCTGCCGCCTGGTTTCCTGTGCTGATTCCACGGTGTGCTGTCTCTGGCTGGTTCCGTGGCTTTGTTCTTTGGCTGCTGCCGCCTGGTTTCCTGTGCTGATTCCACGGTGTGCTGTCTCTGGCTGGTTCCGTGGCTTTGTTCTTTGGCTGCTGCCGCCTGGTTTCCTGTGCTGATTCCACGGTATGCTGTCCCTGGCTGGTTCCGTGGCTTTGTTCTTTGGCTCTTGGGATTTTGCAAATATGCCTCTTGGCCTTTCATTTCTATCTAAAAAATTGGGAACTTTTGGCTGTTAAGTTCCCCCTCTTTGGCCTATATATATGAGGTATTTTGTGAAGGAATGGGTGGTGAATATTTGAGAGCTAAGTGCTTACAAAACCTGAGGGTTTTCTTTGGAAAAGCTTGAGAGCTTTTTCCATTCTCCTTCTCCCCTAGGAAAGCTTGCGAGCTTCTCCTCTTTCTTCTCGGTCTTCTAACCTCCTTCTTCTCTACGCAAGTTCCACCCCACCTGTATCTTTCTTCTAGTTCCGTTGGCAAAGTGGTTGGCTGATTTTGGTTGGCTGTTTTAGAAAAGCTGTGGGCTGTTTCTTTTGTTGGCTGTTTTAGCAAGGTTGTTGGCTGATTGGTGAAGTTTTGGACGGTTTGGTGACATTTTGCTGGAGAAGTTAAAAGGACATTGAATCCCCCTAGCTGTGGTGGACCCTTGGTTTGCATATCTAAACCTTATTTTAAATACTATTCCTACAATCGGTACATGTGAGGAGTCCTCTTGAAGGATGTTCTGAGGATAGTTTTTTTTTGTTAAAAATATTGTTTTTCTTGTTAGTCTTCTTTTGTTTTGATAGTTAGAAGTTGTCTTTTCTAAAGATAGTTGTTTTCTTATTTTGTTCTCAAAGTTACGTCTTAATTTTTATAAAAGTAAGATTTGTTTCTCTTGATTGATTTCTCTTTGTGCCTTGCTCTAATTAGCTTGCACCAAATACCTACCTAAGCTCACTAGAAAGTGTCCTTAGTGGTTCATGGGTTTTCTAGGGCTAGCCAATGCTAAACCCTTGGATGTTCCCCTAGAAGAGTCCTAGGGACAATATCTACACTAAGTTGAGAATTTGAAGAGCTAAGAGTGCCCTGGAAGAGAGAGATCAACCCACTCCAAAAAAGAGGTCAACAATATAGAGAACAAGAAAAACAAAGTTTGCTAGTGCTAACCCCTACTTAAACCGTAATAACAAAAAAGGTGAATTGAAAATAGAACATAATGCAATACAAAATAGGGGTACATGATGAAATCAAAATTTAGTTTTCAAATCATGAAGTAACCTAAGAAAAGATCGATAAACTTCAAATGTAATTAAAATACCATTGATCAAAAAAAAAAATCTGAGAACAGGAAAAAATGCAAACTCGTGAAACTTTAAATCTTTGCAACACATAAGATTCAGAACAACAAAAATTAAACCCTGTCACTTACCATAGGTTTATCATAAAAAGGAAATCCTTGCATCCGCTTTAGTGCCTCCGTAGCTGATGCAACATCTTCAAAGACAACCCATGCTTGACCTTTGTGTTTCAGAGTTTTAAAGGCAAGCACTTCCAATATCTTTCCAAATTGAGAGAAAACCGCATGTAGGGATTTTTTGAGTTCTGGCAACAATTTCAGCAGCTGAGAAACGTGCCCAAATATAGAAAAATTACACTAGAACAACAACAACAAGCCTTTATCCCCTATGTGGGGTTAGCTACATGAATCATTTTTCTCCATTGTCCTGTTAAAAGTCAAATTCTCATCTAAATCTAATAAAGAAAAGTCATTTCTAATATTTTCCAACAAAGTCTTTTTACGTCAAATTCCATCTTTCTTAACATAAGTCAAATTTAATACATCTACTTTCCTAAGCGGGTCAACGGAAAGCCGCCATTTTATGTGACCAAATCATCTAAGGCGACTCTCTCTAATCTTATATTCCACTGGAGCTACTCCAACCTTTTCACGTATATGCTCATTTTGTATCAAGTCTCTTAAGAGAAAAATGACACTAGATGTAAATTAATCAACCATAAAATAAGAAAGTAATTTAGGGTATAGCAAACCACTGGATTACAACAGAAGATTCTTTATTAGATTGATTCTAATAGTATAACAACAATAGCATTTAAAGAAGCATTTTGGTTAATATAAAGAATAGAAAGGAGCAAACTGTAGCTTTTATTTCCATTCAAGTTATCCGTAGTTTAGTTCAAATGCAAATTAAAGTTTATCAAGATAGCAATACATTCAGATAGCACTACTATTAAAAATACTATCATCAATGGCTATGCCTCTGTTTAAGTGATGCTTTTGTTACCTAAAAAAGATGACAATAAAATCTGATTTAGCGATCATTAAGAAAAAAGTTTATTAAAAGATATCAGCAAACTTAAAAAACACTGATTAATGATAACATGAGATGCCATGTATCAATATTCTCTCAGGTTAAATTTAAATTAAACCATAAGAATGAATATTTTCGTCACCACTATTAAAACAACAATATCAGATATATCTTGATATTTTAACTACTGATAAAAGCCACAAATGCTGAAACCTAGAAGCAGTTGCTATTTATGTTCGAGTCAAGAGAAGCATGATTCCATGAAATTTTAATTGACTGTACTAAATGAGATCAGATTCTCCAATGACATATAGGTTATAGACAGCCAAATATAAGAAAAAATAATCATAATTAAACAATAATGAAGAACAGGTAAAAGAACCATACATAAGGTCAAGAGTACAAATTATGTTAGACAATAAAAATGGTATATATATATATATATAAAGATCAAAATAATCTTTCGACTCTTTATAAAGAATTAAAATGGTTCCCAACTAAATTAAACAGTCATTTGGGTCCCTCAAGTGTTTAAAGAGGAATCAAAATAATCCATTGGTGAGGCTCTTTTGATTCCTCTTTAAGGAGTTGAGAAATCAAAATGATCATTTAATGTATTTGGGGACTATTTTGATCTTTCATAGAGAGTCAAGTGACTATTTTAATTATTTTCTCCATATATAACTATATAGCAAAGATTACAAGGCTTCAATTAAAAATAAAGATATTGCAAAAGTTTAAAGGCTATTAAGAGAAATTATTAAGAATGCACATGCTCCAAGTGCACAAACTTTAAGTTCATGATATGCCTTTTGAACGTGTATGATTTTCAAACTATAAAACAATTTATGTTAGATTTAGTAAAATACTAATTTTATTTAAACATTTTTTACTTATTTTCAGAATTATGTCATCTTATACTTGTCAATATCGAATAGCGCGTAATGGCGCAGAGTTTCAATGGAACCCGATAGGAAACAACTGTAGATCTCAAGTATTTCCAATCAATCTTCGGAAAACAGCAAGATAACTCTTCCAAACTACCAAAAAATAGGGAAAACAATAGATTTTATTGCAAAAATCAACTAATGGAAGAAAAAAAAAAGATAGAAGTCATCCTCAATATGAGAGGAGGATCGATCTCTCCCAATCTCTAAACTCCGCTAGAGCCCAAAACAAACTAAGTGATCTCAAATTTAAGCCAAATTCAAGATGCCCTAACCCTAGGAAAACAAACTATTTAATGCATACAATTCAAAAGGAAATCTCTAAACAGTCCCTGCATTCAATTTCCCTCCTAAACTTTCTCAACAAAACTTCCTAAACTGCTCTACATTGCTTGGGCGTCCGATTGAGTGTACAAGAGGCGGAGGTTTCCGCCTCTATTAGCACCTGGGCCGGTACCGTGTGGAACGGCTGGACCGGTCTAACAATATTCCCCTCCCAAAATGCCACCTTGTCCTCAAGGTGGAATGGAGGAAACTGCTGCTAAAGAACATGATCAATAACACTAGACTAAAAAATGGATTTATATTGGGTCAAATGATCCCTGCCTCTAGCATATCCCCAATCAATCTTTCGTATCATCATTTTGGATTTGAGGATAGAGGTACAGTCGAACACTGATCAATGATATCCCTTCCTTCAAGATAATGGCATGCTCCAGCTCTCTCTGTAGAGAAGACCTTGGGGAGGATGAAAAAACTCACTGAACTTCTCTATGAGCGGTTAACCTGAAGTACGAATCTCCCTAATCCTCTAGTCTGACTCCTTCCAAGCATTGCAATTCCACCAAAAATCCTTCTCCAACCTCTTGTATGGTCCTGATCATAGATTTGAGAGATACCCCAGCCTTAGATAGCCCGGTGTCGCCCTGAATTACCATTCTCCTTCCCCCTACCACCAGCTTCATCCTCAGTGCTCCCCAATTGACCTTGGTATTCCCTACGGTCTATAGCAACTTCATTCCCATGATGGCATCAGTGCTCCCCAACTCCAATGGGAGAAAGTCCTCCCTCACTTGGATCCCCTGAATAGTCAGCACTGCTCTCCTACATACTCCTTCACTCATCTCCACAATTCTCGTACCCATCATCATCCTGTAGCACCCCTGTATCCACCAATGTCACCCCCAATTTGTCCACGACCTGGTTGGAGATGAAATTATGGGTAGCTCATTAAGTATCCTGCCTCTAAGAGTAACGCCACTCATCCACCTGAGCATCCTCATCTCTGTAACACATAAGTTAATATTATACTTCTCTTTTAATGGCCAACATTTTGCACCATAAAGCATTGCAGCTTTAACCATCATCTTATAGAATTTTTCCTTAAGTTTGAGGAGAACTTTTTTTTCGCACAACAAGCCAGATGCATTCCCCACCTCAACCATCCAACTTGAATTCTACTAAAAATATCCCCATCACTCTGAACAATAGATCCAAGATATCAAAAATTAATATAACTAGAACTTAAAGTGATATTTAAATATAATAGGTTCATATATAAGAATCAGAATATAAATGGAGATATAATTTCTAAAATTAAGGTTGATAGACAAAAATATGACAACTCTAAAATGGTTGATTTAATAATGATAGCTGAACATTTTTAAGGACTGTTTGGTTGCTTGAAAAAGAAATGCAGTGTAAAATAAATGCAATATAAAATAAATGTAGTGCATTTCGAATACTTTGAGCCCGTTTGGTTGTCTGCAAAATAAACGCAGAAGAATTGTTTCCCTTATTTGGTTAGGTATATCTAGAGTAAAGTAAAAGCATTTTTTTAATAATTTAATTTGGAATTAAAACTAGTGTATTTATAATTATTAGTATTATTTGGTGTTATAAAATAAAATCAGTATATTCATTTATTGCACGATGTCATTATTAATTTTTTTATTATAAGATATAAAATTATGTTGTGTATTACCTTAGCAGTGTGCTGCAATAGATGGAAATATACTTGTGATAGAGAAAAATTTTAATTTTAAATTCTTTTAAAATTTTAAATTTTTATTTTTCAAGTAAATTTTTTACAAAAAAATTGCACAATATTAAATTTTCAAACTACTTTCTTTGTTTAATTTAGCGATAAAAGCAATTGATTTCTATTAACAATCAATAAATCACATGATTCTCATTCATAACATGTAAACAACATTAATGAAATAACATTATGCATATCAATAACATTATGCATTATGGGGACTAGGACATGACCCTCTGCAAATGCAGAATATTTAAAAGATAAACAAATATTAAGACGCAAATATTTTCAAACATATTTTAGAGCCATTATTGCTTTGATGCCTGAACTTACAAATAGTTGCAAAAGAGAAATTTTCTGAAGGCAGAGGAATATTAAGCTGTTAGGCTTTGCAAAGGAGTATGACTTTTCACTGTAGCTATTATTTTGTCCGAATTTCAGCCCCCAATGAAAATGCGTCACGTCCGATACCGAGCTTATACTGAGCGGAACTCGGTACTCGGTACCAAAGCATAAACCGGACGGTTCTCCCGGTTGGAAATTCTAGCTTCCTTATGAAGTTGCTTCTTTATGGGTATAACTTTGGCATTAAGCATTTTTTTTTACTTAATCATGTTTTATCAAATATAAAGCGCAGTTGAATTAAGATATTATAACCATATTTTAATTATAATAATTAAATAATAGAAGTGCATGCTTGTTGGAAACACAATTTTCTGAAGGAAACTATAATTGCTTAAGCAAAGCAACAACAATTCCCTAAACTCAATGCAAATTTGTTATATCTATTTTTAAGCCATAATTACCTTTACACTTCTACTTAAAAAAATTGTATTTTTTTACAAAAAAAAATAGTGGTAGAGCTGTTATGCAGTGTTGAAGGTCACCCATTATCATCAAGATAGTATAACCCATTACACATCCTACCACTACCACTAGTCATCCTAAAGGATAAATCATAAAATTCTTAAAAAGAAAAGAAATATAGCAATGCAATTGAAATTTTCATTCAAGTTTTTGATAAATACAAACTTACAGCTTAAGTTTCAAACATGAAAAATTGAGGAAACAAATAAATTTACAGAAGAGGATGGCACAATGACAAAAAAGGATAAATACATACTTACAGCTTAAAACACTAATATTGACAAAGCCAGAGAATTTACACAAGAGGATGGCACAATGACAAAAAAGGATAACTGATGGAGGAGAAAGATGAATAATTATGTATTAAATGTCTTAGTTATCACTTTATCAAACTTTTGCCTTTAAAACCTGGTTTTT